CCGAACACGAGCTATTCATGAACAACAAGCCGGTTTGACAGCCCTATTTGGAATATTGTAAGATGCCTTTAAATCATATGCATGTGACTAAATCTGCATGCTAGATCGTATTAATTAGTTGCTCTTTCCAACGCAACAAAATCGTCCAATACATAAGTTTTGACTTAATAATGTTAAGATGCGTCTTATTTCTATTTCCTCTCTGCCTTTTGTTTCTTCCTTGCCATGGAGGAAAGGACAGATCTTCTGTTCCTTATAACTGAGATGCAAGAAAGTCTTATAAAATATATGAAGATATTAATCGGGATCTCCATTGATTGCAATGTGATTATTCTAGTTTTTAATATCCTAATTTTGCGTGCAAGTGTAGAGCAAATTAAATGCGGGAGTTTAAAAATTCAACAATTTGGTTGGGATAGACACAAACACAAGTATTATGTTGGAGAGCATGGAACACAATGCTTGCTTAGTTTAATTCGAGGGTATTCAAAATTTACCATGAGCGGCATGATCTTACGAAAGGCCAACGAACTCGACAACCACGCTACCTTAAGATTTAGACACACACCTATGATCCCAACAATTATACTACCATGCAAAATGTCTAAGTTTTGCTCGGTCAATTTTCAGTCAACCATTACTACACAATGTCAATTTCATAGCCAGGTTCTTATTTGGCAATCGACCCTAGCCACCAGGATCTTGAGGACCAATCTAAACCCTAAAGCACACGTTACAATGACCTTGATGCGCTTGACCATTTTGAATGTTACCTCAAGCCCATCGATAGCTACTCACACTTGTGAAGATATCTAAACTGACACGACCTTCTAAAACGATGGGCACAACACGTTTGTGACAGTTTAATCGTCAGTTTCCATAGCCAACGGATTTGAGTCACCAAACCGATGAAACCCCTGAGCCATCCGAAAATGATGGGCGTGACACTTTTTCGGCACTTTAGTCGTCAGTTTATATGACCGACGCATTAGTGACTTGTAACCGATGAAAATATTATGTCAAAAAAGTGATGGGTACGACACTTTTCTAACGAGTAAGTTGTTGCTATTACCGACAGAAATCAATGATTAAAAATTGTACAAAAAAAGCAATGGCATTAAATCGTCGGTTATGTGTCAGTAGTTAAATGTCGTCAGAATTTTAGTCACTTCTGAAATTAACGATAAGCGATTTACTTACGAGCTTAAAACCGTAGATAAACGGTAAGAAAGAATAAAAGTGACAATTTTTTTCATCTTATCAGACAGAACTTACCCATCGGAAAAAACCTTTATTCATACAGTGAATGAGGAGCAAGAGTATTTATGATAGAAAAACTGAATTCAAATCTTAGAAAAACTGTGATTTTTTGACACCAAGCAACACTTTAAGAAAATTAAAACTAAAGACTAGAGAAAAAAACTAATTTGTCACCATAACTGACAAACTTAAGAATCAAATAAATCATTGTTTGAATAATGAACCCCATAAATAATTAAAATCGACCAACTCTAAGTTTTTATAACCACGCCCAGGCATAGCTCTCTAAACTGTGAACCCTATGCTAGTCGATATATACAAAAACACATGTCCATACACACCCTAGAATAGTCCAGACTAAAAGCCTTGGTTAGTTTACTAGGTATCCAATAGATAGGGTTATAGACTATGGCCTATAAAATAAATGACCTATCTCTTTGGACAATAAGGGTATCCTATAGTGCAGTAACCCATGGTTACCGATGAAGATACCCCAAAAACAATTAATAATAGGGCGTTTTATCATAAGTCATTGCTATGACAATAAGGGTGACCTCCTGTTATTTTATTGGTTAATATTGTAAGGATATTAATGCACCCGAGATGATAGAAAGCTATAAACATCTTAATAGAAGACATAATTCCAAAATTTAGACTACTCCACATATAACCTCCTACTTAGAGTCATTTAGGTTAAAGTTTCACCTCAATATAGAAAGTTGATACCTTTTCTACCCCTAATACAAAATTTAATAGATTTAAATGGACTTAAAGTGAACTTTAACAAGCAATGATAAACTTAATAAATCTTTGAAAGTTTTGAACCAACCTTAAATATAACAAATCTTAAATAACTTTATCAGTCAATTTTGAAATTGAATTCGACCAACTTTAATATATTTTCAAACAAATAAAAAAATTTTAAACTTATAAAATGAACTTTAATAATTTTAAAACTAATTTAAAAAATTAACTTAAAACTCAATAATTTGACAAAAAAAAAATTTTACAGCCTTAAAATTTTTAAGCTAATCATTTTTAAAAATGTACACTCCCTCTTTAATATTTATCAACCTATTTAATTTTAAAAATAAATTTTTAAAATGAAATTAACTTAATAAATTCATGTTGCTTAGCTCAAGTGAAGTCAAGTTTTATCCAAATGAATCTTTTATCCATGTCTTCAAACTCTAACACTCTACAACGTTTATTGATGATCAAGAAATGTATAAGGCATACCTTTAATCAAGGGTGCTCTCAGCAGTAATTCTTGAGATGTAATTAACTATAAGAAAACCTCCTCATAAAGATACGAAACTTCGGGTTAAAATAAACTTTATCTTACACTAATATGATAAGAGAAAAATTTTAGTTTCGTAGATCCATGAATCACACTGATTTTCATCGTTCAAGTGATTAGATCCATTTTTAAGGTAATTTTTCTTTCATTCAAGGTAGTATATTATTCTTTGAATATCGTATATGATCATTTAGATATAAATCTTTCAAGATCTGTGGTGGCTATTATAAAAACCTCACAAAAAAAAGTTAAGTTTTTATACTACTTTTCTTAATATTGCCAACGAGTAGCTATCCTATGCAAATTATATAGCATTTAAAGGGGAAAAAATGTGATGAAATCTAGATGTAGCCAAAATGAAACTAAATTCTTTAATTAAGTTAATTATAAGGTCTAAAGCCCATGGTCTTCATAATAATTTAAATTTTATTCTTTTTTATTGAAATAATATTCAATAGTTAAATTTTATTAAATTATATTTAAATTTTAAACTAAAAAAAAAATTCCAGCTTATTCATAAGAGAAAGCCAAGTAAAAAAGAGTTAATTTGCTAGTCAAACAATAACATAGCTCAAGTTAAGTGTGAATGAAGCTCGCAAACTATTGGATGAAACTAAGTGCTTATTCCTTGTACAAACAATGTTTCAAGCATGTTTGAATTTTTCTCAAAATGTAATTCAACAATTTTCATATTTAACATGAACCATTATTGAACTATATTTTAACCATGGTGAAATATCTTTAGCAACTTAAATTTATTTAAACGACCCGACTAATCTCTGATCTAAACCATAAACGACAATAATTTTACCCTTGCATTAACTATGTTGAAACCATATTTTAATTCTATTTAAATCATATTTAAACCATGTTCAAAAAAAATTTTAAACTTATTTCATTCATTTTTAAACATGGTTCAAATCTTATTTGAACTTTACTCAGTACTTCTTCAAAGTATTCTTAACTACTATTTGAGCATGCTAATCAGGATTTAAATGTGTTTTGAGTAAATTTCAAACATTATTTGACATGATTTAAGTATTGTTTGAAATATTTTTCAAGGAAGATTAAATATTTAAACATGATTTGAATATGGTGTAAGGTTCAAATAAGAATTAAACAAAATTAGAGAGAGATTCAACTATGCTTGGACAAAGTTTGAAAACAATAAATGATAATGTATATATAAAATAAATTATAATCTTATAGCTAACCCAATACAATGAGAAGTATTATATTGCTTAACGAGCAAAAAATCATAATAGGGGCCTTATACTAAATCAAAGTAATTAAAAAGAAATTAGCAATAAGGTGACTACAATCACAAAATTTATAATATAGTAATTAAATTTCCTATACAACTGAATATAATCACATCGATATCGTCTATAACAGAACATAGTTGCCCTCTCTCATTATCTAATAGTATCTATATTACAATCAAGTAGCTAAAATTTATGGATTATAGGCATTTTAAGACTCCATAAAATGCAACCTTGTAGAACCTCAGTCAAATTTTGACCAACCTTCCTATGGCTTGTTCAATCATTATTTTAACCTTAATCGAACATTCATCAAGCATTTTTCAAACTTTGATCAAATATTTTTCAATCATTATTCAATTCATGACCAAACTTTCTTCAATCATTAAACAAAATTTTTTGAAACATTTTTAGCATTACTAAAACCTTGTTAGATTTTTTTTAATTCATAGTTAAATCCTTATTCGAATATGATTTCAAATAAACTTATAATGCTTTTGGTCATGGCTCGAACATACTTCGATCAAGGTCATAACAATTTTTCATCGATGTTCAAAGCTAGAAATTTGATTTGTAATATCTTTCTAAGTTTAGGCTCCATGTGTAAATAACTAGATGATTAGACATATCATCACTTAAAATGAAAACAAAAATCATTACTTGCTAACAATAGCCATTAGAAATAGAAAGACATTGATTATGAAGACTCAAATGCAACTATTTGTGCAATGCTTCATGTATATAATGCCTAAGCTTCTCTTCAAACATTAAGCCATTTTAATCCAAATGAAACACTCAAATATTCTTTTTCTAACAAATAAATTAATAGGTACATTTCACCAATTTAAATTGTTAAATTACCATTAGAAATCCTGCAAGCTGGTACTTTTTCGACTGACCCCACTTCATCTGTCAAATCTGTCCCCAACTAAAATTCTATAATAAATACATGGCACACAATTCACGTAGTGATTATTGTGATCTATTGTATTACACAACTACAACAGTAAGCCATTAGAAACAAAACAAGCAATATCTCCTAGAAATCAATGGCAATCCATAATCCAGCAAGGCACTAATTTCTTCAGAGAAACACTATATAAGAAGCCAAGGCCATCTGTCACTTTCATTAATCACTTGGAATCTTCTTCCCTCTCTCTCATTCATTCTTCTCAAAGATGGGGAGCAATCAACATGGAGATTTTGGATTTGGGACCGCAAGATCATCATCTAATTCCTCAAGGAGAGGGAAGAAGATCAGCTCAGAGAAGCCAAGGAAACCTCAGAGAGGACTTGGGGTGGCCCAATTGGAGAAGATTAGAATTCAGAGCCAAATGATGGATAATTATAACATGCAATCACTTCATCCTCCCTTCCATAGTAATTTTCTCATGGTTTGTATACATCTTTCATAAAATCATTCCATTGTATGGTATGCTTATTAATGATACTTTTGTTACAAATTTAACCCTGTACCTGTACAAAGCAGGAGGATGGCATGAGACAAACATCCAACTTTCCATCATCTTCCCCTACATCTTTTCAATATCCCAAATTTTCGGTGGGTAGATTGCTTCCTATTTGCAAAAAGAAGAGAATTTATACATACAAATAACTTGATTTTAACTTTGTTTCAGAATCTGTACGAAGATAATAGAATTGGAGAATCATACTCATGCACATCAGCTAGGTACAGTATGATTATCTTTTAGGGTATATGTATTTCATATATGACTGTTAACTTGCTTCTGTTGTAATTTTTTTTTTCTAGGTTTTTACAGCCTGATGGCATCAATGGTAATTCATATGCCAATTATCTTGGGCAGGTGGCTAATTTGCCACTCATGGAGGTAACTAACTATGTATGCCAGCGCTGATTCATATAGAATTGATGAATAAAAGTTGTGTCAGAATCTCATAATTTATTTTTATGTCAGAAGTAGTAAACAAATGATCAAAAAAGAAATGAATTTGAACATAAATAAAAGTCTTTTTGAAATAATTAGAACATAGTCATTTTGTACTGCATTGTATCTAGCTTATTTATTTTGTCCTTAAGACTAAATGACAATGTTTCCTTTTTTAAAACTTTATATATATAACTATATATATTTACTATATGAATTAACCATAAACTATAAGCGCCATTGATTTTTTTTTTTTTTGTGACAGGAAACAATGGAGAGGAGATATCTGCAAAATCAAAGCTACTCTGCAGGATCTTTAGGCCATGTCTCAGATTCAAGCGACTCACAAGAGCTAGACTTGGAGCTCAGGTTATCACTTTAAGGAACCTGCTGAAAGCCTTATTAATTTTGATAACTGATCATATTCATCAAAATTGTTTTCTTGTTTGTCTATCTATTGTACATGTATCAGATGTGTAAAATGATAAAATTTATGAAAAGGAATTTCTTTGGTTTTCCTTATTCATTAGATGTATGGTTTTAAGAACTAAAATAAGTTTAAAATTAATAATTTGTTTTTTTAGTATATTTTATTTGCATCTTTTTTTTTTTTTTGGATTAATAGAAAATTATTTGAGTAATAATTTGTAAATAAATGTTTTTTTTAAAGCCACTGAAGATCTTGTTAAAAATAATTAAAATGATTTCAAAATTTTTTCAGTATTTTCAGACATAATTCAGTTTTCTGGACAAGTTAATATTGCAAGATGAATATTAAATAGATGATGAAATTAGAAGATATATGCCAAAAATAGAAGATAAATAAAATTTAAAAATAATGCTAAAAGTACTATTTTAATTATTTGAGGGTCTCTATTTATATTTAAATGTTTCGAGTACATTTCTTTTAATTTCCATCTATATTGCTTTTATATAGAAATATATCAAGATATTCTTATACACTATTTCCTCCCAAAAGTTGTACTTAGTGTTTACTGAACATCATAAATAATCAACTCATTTATCATTAATAAGTATACCTAAATTCAAAAGGTTTAACATGTGATGATAAAATAGGAGTGAGAGAAATCTTATGTGTATAGAAAAGGGGTGAGAAAGTACTCAAATATGTATTAAAACATTTGCTCTTGAGTTTATCTAATACAATATTGCAAGGCATGAGACCTGATCAAATTCATAAATTTATTATTATAATAAAAAATATAATAAGTCATGTGTTAATCTATCTTTGATATGCCATCTTTCATGAGTACTTATAACTCTTCATCTTGAAAGTTGCTATTCTTCCTTTGCCTATCATAAGCTCTTTCATCAATGAACCCCACATCACTTTCAACTTTAGATATGATAATGTTAAATACGTTAAATACTTTAGATTGGTTATTACTAAAGATAGCTTTTGAGCTTCAGTGACCATAGCCAATTTTATTTTGAAACATGTGAAAATTTAATGGTCCTAGACACCTTTATGTAAGGTATTTGACTTTCTCTTTCTCAATGCTTTTTGTGGCATCATGTCTTTTATGTTTGAAGTTGGGAATTGGTGGAGGATATTGAGACACATGCCATTTCCTAAGCCTAAATTTTCCTTGTCATATTATTGCTCTACTTTAACCATATCGGATGATTTTTATCAGATATCAACTTCCTTTCTCCACCGTTGCATGGAAACTCATAAATAAAAACTTCCAACTTTTCATACAAGGAACTGACTAAGGGTGCATTTGGGGCAGTTTGTGTTTATCCAGATAAGCATTTTATGTTGAAACCTGGCTCGCAGATGGCTCGCGGGGTTCTACCCGCGGCCTGCGTTTAGTGTAAAAACCCAACCACATTTGGATATGCTGTCGAAAAGTGTTTTCCAAACAGTGAGGCGGCGTTTGTGTTTTCCAAATGATGAGGCGGCGTTTTCACACTTATAAGCTGCCATAAACAGACCCTAAGATTTCTTTCTTTAATATTATCACCAATAAAAGCTGGAAAAAAATAATACTTTGACAAAAAGACGCAAGGGCAATTGGTTTACATACATCCATATGGATTAGTTGGAGTGGTGCAATTGCTCTATACTTTGCTTCTTTCAAAATGCTTTCTCTAACTTGCTTTTTTAAATACAAAACCCCATGAATCTTATTTGGAGATTATAAAAATTTCCACAATTTAGACGCCCAAATGGCATATGCCAAAACCATATCCATGTTGTATCTCCTACACATGCTTTTAAAATAACTCATCGCATAATTTCTTATGTTTAGGATAAATTTCTATTATTTTTCATTTTAATTTTAAAAATTAATTTTGTTTAGTTAATTTTTATAATTTCCTTGTTATCTTTCGATGCGATCCGATCATTATTTAAGTAATTACCTTAAGCTTGGCATATTACTCTTTGCCTAACATAAACTAAGCATTAGAAATAAAATGATGATCATAAGATAATTTTGTCATTTTCTCTTTACCCTAAAGTTATCCTTAGATGCCAACTATATTTAAGTAATTACTCATAGATGCCAACTCTTGAGCTCTCCTCAACCCTAAAGTTATCCTTATCATCCTTCAAAGTATTGATTAGAGAGTATGTTTAACAGTACCCTAATTTTTATTATTTTCTCAAGCTCCATTAACGATCCTATATTCTCATCAAAAGATATGGACTATATGTCATTTGCTTCCTTAATGGATACTATATTATTGCCAAATGTTTCATTGACAAATAAAAAATCAATTTTTTTTAATGATTCAAACAACTTCAAAACTCTCTCCATACATTCATAGAGTATTAACCAAAGCCAAGACTTGCAACCATATCCCTCTATGTTTTTACCTCCTTCAATTGGTGTGCTCCATTTTTAGTATGAAATGTTTGAAGCTAAACTTTTGAATCATCTATATGATCCTCTAAGCTATTTAAAGTAGTTTCCAAGACATTATTAAAACTGGATATTAATTTTTACCACCTTCTCAAAGTGAGTTCCATCTAAAGCTTAGAAGATAAAATGCGGTTCCTATTCTCCTTTCAAATTTCCTTCAAAGAGCCTCTTTGGATCATCAATAATGCTACTTTATCTCAAGGCTTAATATTGTCTTTTTCTACCACCTTCCAAACATCTAGGAGATAAAAAAAAGACTTTAATTTTATATCATAAATTTTAATCCTTAGGAGATGAGGTACTTAGTGTCTCATGCTGCTCAACATCTTTTCACAAACCAGTTGTTGTCACCACTATGATGGAGAATAATTTATATGTGAAGCATAAAGGAAGAAATTAGAAGTAAAGTTATATTGAGAGGGTGCTAGAAGAAAGTACTCTTGCTTGTATTAAACTATTTGATATCAAATTTGGCCTATACAAAATTCAATCCATAATGCTTATTTAAAATTAAAATACCAAAAGAATTCTAGGTCTAACAAATATCTAACATAGTTGATATATTTTTTGAAAAACTTTTTTATATAAGATTTCTTAGATATACTAGCATATGGAGGTTTCTATACCACTTTATTACAATGTACTTCCCACCATATATGTTGTCATAGATATTTTATAGCAATAATTATAATGAATATTTTAGCTACTTTATAATATGTAGATACTATTTTTGAATTAAATTATAAATTTTACTTTGCTAACTCAACCAATTTGCCAAATAAAAAAATATATTTCACTTTAGATGTGTATAATTATACCTTACCTAAAATCATATGGCCATTACACCTTTAAATTATAATATAATCTAAAAATAATTGAAAAAAAAAAAGTTAGACATACTCTAGAAAAATTTTGTAGCTACAATTAAAGCACTTTATATCACTAAACTCTGTCAAAATTTAGGTATTTTATATATAGAAAATTAGGGTATATTCTTATTTTTTTGAAAAGAATATTATAATAATGTTAACTAAAAGCCTAAAAAACTCCATTGGATGACTAGTGCTAATTTTTATGGTTATAAACTACAGCATTAGTATTTAAGTATCTTAATGATCTTAGAATTGAGTGATCTTAAGTTTTATAAACTTATACCATTGAAAGGATTTAATTTATTGTAAGCATTTAAGTTTTAATAATTATTTAAAGTCCTAAAAAGATAATGAACTTTTTAAGTATATTTCAATTGTTTAATTTGGGCTCATTTGGAGGTTGATAGAACAACTTTACCATTTCCTTCATATAATCAAAATATTTACTTTGATTACAAGTTTTTTGAAATCAAAATTTGGATGTTATTTTCCTAATCATAAAAGTATTTCTTTTAAATTTTGTCTTGCTTAACTGATTTTTTTATGAACATATTATTTATTCCTTTTCATGAAATATCAAAACTTATGACATCCAAAAAATTTATATTTATTCATATTTTATTACAAAAGTTATAAGATGTGACAACTTTTTAAACATCAATGTAGAACTACTCTTTCCGTCATGAACTAAATAAAGATTTTTTATATAAATTTATAAAATCTTAAATTTTGTGTATTAAATGGAGCAAAATTTATTCAAATTTTTTTTAAAGTCTCCAAATTTGAGCAATATTTGTTGTAAGGTTTTATTAGGCTCTTAAACTATAAAAAAATCTATCTTGAACATTAAAAAACAAATTCAAACACCCAATTATTCCCAAATAGCTTGTTTTTTATTTAATCTAGGCTATGTCAGCTAACCACCTTTAATGGTGTTGACATTCACTAATACTCACTATTTTCTTACTATGTTGTTGTTATGAAAAGGAAAAAAATGCAATGATGCATTTTATGAGAACACTTGCTCTCCTTAGTGTTTTTAAAATCCAAATTTAGTAATTAAAATTTTGTAGAACAAGATATCGTAATGGTTGACTATAAAGCTAAGTTAGGTCAAAGCCATCAATGCTAATAGAGGATTTCTCTTTGGTTGAGTACCATGAATAGGATGAGTAAAACTAGTTTTGTTGAGGAATATTCACTAAAGGAACATAGCTTATTACCGACGGTTAAATACTGTCTGTAATATTATTTAAACCATTGGTAAAATGTATATTAGAGGTCTACCAACAATTCATTCAACGTAGAAAAAATGGTTGTAGTTAGTAAAATTACCTACGGATTTATCGACAGTTTTTATATACCGATGGTTTTCCAACATATCGTAAACATCACTGTTGATCCAAAACGATACCGTGTTTAATCTTAGCTTGTTGTCGTTAATATAATCAATGTGTATATATGTAGGAAATGAGTTGCACTTCCAACATAAAAGTGTCAAGTTTCTATCAGTTGACTGTAGCTTAACCGTCTATTCACCATGGAAAATTTCTGATGATTGGAATCATTGTAAAAGTGCAACACTTTATTTAAACATCGCTTGTTCGATGGACCATCAGGAAACCATCGGCACATAATCAAAGAGTCATAAAATCATCAGTTAGTTGTCAAAAACCTGCAGCATCAGAAAAAAATTAAGCCCTCCATCAACATTACAATTTA